GCTGCTTGGCCTGCTGTGTTCATCCAGCTCTGCACCTTGTTGTCTCAGATTCTCCAGCATCTGCAGTTCCTACTATCTCTGCTTTAATAATTTATTTCTTCTGTAGAGATGCGTGAGCCTTTTAGTTTTAACTTCTAAGACAGCAATCAACATTTTAGGTGATTGATAGCTAACTGTCACTAACAGACCATTATCCTATTCTTAAGCTTTTTTTTTTAAGTTCTAGGCGATAATTTGACTTTTACTGTACAATTTAATTTAAAACAATAATTACTAGCCGTATTCCCACTTTTAAAAAATTCTGGAAATACTCACTCAGCCTCTGTCTGACTTGGGCATGTTGCCCTCACAATAACCATGTCTTCTTACTGACGCATCAATTACCAAGACAGCAAGTAACACTATCAAATCATTCCAACTTAAAATTCCATTACAGGGCTAGTAAAGTAAACGTTTAGAAGTTACCCCTCCCGTGGAAGCTAAAGCATAAGAAGCACGGATGACAAATTTAACAAAAAGGTACATTTCTTTTCAAAAGAGTGATACCTACATGCTACTTTTAAAAAAAAACAGCAATGAGGCATACACATTGAGGAGGATGGTAATTCAAATAAAGGGTTGTGGATTCTGCTGCAGAAAATTCTTCACCTTTATTGCTAATATTACCGATTGTTCCTTCAAACCAACAGTGAAGATTCTGTATTACTAAGGTATCAATAGAATGGTCTGAAGTGGTGAATCGAGTCAAAACATGATTTCCTCATATAAAGATAACAACGTATAGCCTCCTCTGAAATGTGTATGACATAATTCCAATAAATATTAGAAACTGGAGTGAAGTATGTCAACAATGTTGAAAATGCCGAGTTACCACACAGTAATTACGGAAAGAAACAATATGATGGTGGTAGCTTTTCCTGGAAAATACTTCTATTATTTCATATCATTTCATAAATTACCAAATATCTCCTGCCACAGTAAACTGAACACGACTGCGGTACAGCTAATCCCAATTCTGGGTAAGAATTGAAAACAAAAACAAAGGAAGACGTTGAGATGTAGTGCTAATTCTGAAAGTTAAATATCACGTATTTGTTTGTATCTAAAAATAAGATCAGTATGGGTAAACTTATAAAAGCTATGATCTCAGCACGCTATTTCAGTAGATAGGAGTATAGTTTGATTAAAGATTGAAATCACAATTATCCTAGACGTCCAAAGACTGCTGAGATATATTTTCTAAAGGCACATTCCGAATTAATGTGACTCCTGCTATGCTTTACCTTCTTGTGAGAATGGTGGATTGATGTTCGTCCAATTAAAGTGCATCGTCCGTTATCTGTGGAAGAATGACCGGTACCAAGAGTAATTCAGAGTCCTTGAGCCACCTGACTATCCTGTGTACTTTTAAAAATGATTTAAAATGACAACACCCAGTTTCCAAATTTCAGAACCTGCTTGTGACAGTGTATTTACTTCTATGCTATAAACTACAGTCGAAACTCCTTCTGAAGTCCAGTGCAAATCAATGCACGAATAACATTTGCTCCCTTTCTGATATGCCTCTTCTGAAGCATTCCTACTTTGAACATTGTTGTTTTCAAACTTTTTTGTCTGATATGGTTTCCTCCAATATGCGAAATCTTACTCGTTTTCATCCTGTGTTGTCTTGTACTAGATGTATATTGTGGATGCAACTTGCATTATTTTGTGGAATCCTTATTTACATTGCATTTTTCTATCGTGTTATCCCGTATATGTCGTTTTTTGTAAGGTACTCCTTGCCGATATTTTTACCCATGACCCTTTATTTCTTCCATTTCATGATCACCTTATTTTTCATGAAATATGTCATCTGGATCATTTTCACAGCGATGTATTAATTAGTTTGCAATATTTTGTCCCTGTGTTGTTCCTTCCAAATGCCTAGAATTAAGATAACATGTACAGATTTCATCAATATTTTACGTTCTTCACGACAGAAGAAATACACTAAAGCCAACTACTTGCATGTTCAGTACTAGCAGAAGTTCAATGAATGGGGATGCATTCCATACTTTTAAATTACAGTTTTTGTCATGAAGTAAAACATTGTCAGACATGGATTCATACTGTTATCTCAAAACTTTTAAGAGCTATAATAGTTGGAAAGAAAATAAAACTGATCCTGTGTCTATAATAGTATTATTTTTGTTAGAGATACCTTTTTGAAGTTTACAAAATCTGAACAATGGCTTGATCTGAAATTGATTTCCTCCGTCAGAGATGAATCTCGTGGGCTCTTCTTTGCTGCTGTTCTTTTTTTCTCCTGACATCTTTTTTGTCAGGGAAGGATAACATTAATGCATTTGTTATTGCAATGTTTCTCAGGGTAATCTAGATTTTCAGCGTTTCTGTGGTTATTGTCTTGAAAATCGAACATAATCAAAAGCAAAGGAGTACAGTATTCTCGTTTTTAAATTGTTTTCTTCTTTCAGGGGTTACTCACTTGGAGTTATTTGATCAATAAAATTATATCCTGTCATATGCTGACAATGTGATTCATAAAATCCTCAATCAGTTTGGCACTTGCAATTAACTGTTCCATTATACTTTGATGTGCGAAAAGTGACCTATGAGATGAATCAAAATGATAATCGCAGCCCTCCTGGAAAATGTGTTAAAGTTTTTAAAAGCTTTAAAACATCTTTTCATTATTCTCAGCCACTTAAGCTGCAATTAACTCCAAGTTGTCTTATTATTTTAAGATGTCTGACATCTGTTCCCTAATGATTGTTCTTAATGTTATAATTACTTACCACATTTTGCCCTTGGCAGTGCTAATTACACATCAGAGTGAAAGGATGTCACGCTCATCGGAAACAAATGAATTTCTCACTAATATAGCTAACTTGCTTGATACTCAAAGAGGAAGTTCACACAAAAAGTTCGAAGTGATCATCATTGTGATTATTACTGGATCCATAAATTTGATGACCATTATTGGAAACATTCTGGTTATTACTTCTATCAAAACAAACAGACATTTACGAACCATTAACAATTGCTTTCTTTTCAGCTTAGCCTGTGCTGATTTGATTCTTGGTGTGTTCACTATGAATGTATTCACCATTTACACCGCATTTGGTTACTGGCCTATGGGCCCGATTTTGTGTGATTTATGGCTTGTTGTAGATTACGTTGTAAATACTGCATCTGGCATTAATCTTCTTATCATCAGTTTTGACCGGTACTTCTGTGTGACAAAACCCCTTAGTTACCCCGTAAGCAGGACACCGAAGATTGCAGGGATAATGATAGCATCTGCTTGGGTGGTGTCATTTTTCCTCTGGGCACCTGCCATTGTTCTCTGGCAGTTCATCGTCGGCAAGAGGACTGTTCCTGAGGGTGAGTGTTATCCACAGCTCTTCTCAAATCCAGCCATCACTTTAGTCATTATTACAGCTGTTTTCTATCTCCCTGTTACAATCATGGTGACCTTGTATGTAAATATATCTTGTGCCAGCAAGAGTCGAATAAAGGGGGCTCAGAAAGTATCTGAACCAAGCGAGGGTTTCGGTTCTCCGAATCTATGGAAATCCACAATGTTGAAACCGGGTAATAACAATGCATCAAATTCTTCTGATGGGTTGTTCCATGCCCAATCACAAAATGTCAAATTAACAGCTGGAATGACAATTGAGAAATGTGGGCAAGGGAAAAAGAAGGAGGTCTTCACTGAGTCAAATTCTCTCGGTTTTGCACCACCAAATCAAACGAAGGAAAGAGCAATCGAAGAGAATGCAACGATCTCCGCTACACAAAGTCAGGTTGAGATGGACTCCATCAAAGTTGCTTCCGTGAACATAGTCAGCAACTCTCAAATTAATGGCTGCATCGGTAGCACGGTAGGCGTAACAATTGATAGTAGCAATATGAATTGGCATACCTCAGAATTCAGAGCAAATGGTAAGGTCATTACAATGACCGAGAAACCTGCAAATAAGAAGAAAGTAGCTGCAAACCGCGAAAAAACGGTAACTAGGACCATCCTGGCTATTATTCTGGCATTTATCATCACCTGGACTCCATACTTTGTTATGGTGATCATTACTACTTTCTGTCCAACCTGCATCACCCACACCATTTGGAATATTGGAAACTGGATTATTTATATCAACAGTACCATCAACCCAGCTTGCTACGCACTATGCAATGCCACATTCAAAAAAACATTCAAGCATCTTCTGTTCTGTCAGTACAAAAACATTGGCACAAAAAGATAAAGACAGCAAAAAAAATCCCAAATGCATGAACAAATTGCATTGACTGATCAAGTTCACGTTCATAAAAATAATTCATTGCGTCAGGTTATCTATCAATTCGACATTGATTACAACTAATGCTCACAGGCAGTTCGAATCCGATGCAATAAATTTGGAGCGTCAGTTATTCATGAAGGCTCTGTTGAGCCGTTTTGTTATTCTTATATCGGATGTGAGCCTGTCTGTTTTTGTTGGATAAATGGTAACCAACGGTTACGTAGACCAAAGTGAATGAAGAATTCTTGATCAAATTCCTTCAAACAGAATAGTGAATCAAATGGATCTAAAGGAATATCACCGGTGCTATCTTTATAATTTTTTTTAAAAATTCAATTCAAATTCCAATACTTTACAGTGTTGACAAACCAACCCCTTATCCCCAAAACAAAGATCTGAGCCTTTGGATTACTAATCCCGTGGTATTACTATGATGTCTCTTTCTATCCTAGTCAAAATAACTTTCAGAAGAGGGATTGAGGCTCAAAAACCTTCATTAAAAGAAGCACAAACATGTTTCGGATTATTGCTCAGTTTTATAATATTATACAATATACAAAAAAAAGGACCCCTACACTATATAAACATAATTCGCTTGCTTCCATTCATACCACTTCCATGGTGCTTTCAGTGTATATCCTTCTTGGTGTCGTTCTTAATTTTATTTTTGATTCCTTGAGATTCTAGCAGGTTATTGCTTTTTAAAAATAAGCTTCTAACTGATTTGTTTGGAGAAGACTGTTGTGTTGAGAGATTTGTTGAATCGCTTATGAAGAATGGAAAACTTTGTGTCAAGGTGGTAGCGGTGAGACTCTGTTCCGCTTGATGAGAGAAATATCGGCAGTGACACCGAGGTGGAAAATGTAATTGTCTTAAGTAGTTCAGCGTTCACTCGCTGAATCAGGAATTCAGTGAAGGAAGTGACATGTGAAACGTGCTTTGTGAATTAGCTGCAACAGCAGTTATTCTTCTGCATGCCTGTGAGACGTGGACTACCGTTTCTGACACGTAGGGCGGTTAGACAGATTTGCAAACAAACTAAATTAGCACCATCATGGGTAGCAAATGGAAAAGAGAAAGCATCCAACACTGAAATATTGCTTGTGTGTGTGTGTGTCTGTGTACAGGCGGTAATGTAGTTGTGGGTGGTTGGTTTGGTAGTGATAAAACTGGCTGGGAGGAGGTGAGGGTCATGTGCTGGGGAGGGGGGAACGTAGTGATGTGAATGGGGCTGTGGAAAACACGTCCTGTCCTCCCATCGCGCTTTGTTTTTACTAGCTTCAAATTTGGAGCAGCTTCTCGCTGTGCTTGATCGGATCAAATTAGACAGCATTACAGGAAGGTAAAACCAGTAGAATACCCTTTAAATAGTCGTGTTGTTTAAATCAGGAGGCCACTTGCATTTTTTCTTAAAGGAGAGTGGGAGCAACGGGTCGTGGTATATGATGGTGAATTCTTTACAATGATTTGGAGATGGGGACAAGTGTTAAAGCTCACAATTGACATTAAGATGAGTTGTAGAGCAAAACGTAGAGGATACTGAAAGTCTGCGGATGGATATAAAAAAGTCAGTGGGCAATGTCTGGCAGATAGAGCACAACGTTGCTAAATGTGAGATCATACATGGACTATTATTTAAATTACAAAGAATTTCAGCATGCTGATGTGCAGAGAGATCTTTGTCCATTAACCACAAAAACGGTTGGTTTGCAGTTGCAGAAGGTAATTAAGAAGGAAAGTGTAATATTCTCCGTCATTGCCAAAGGGATGAAGTTTACAAACAGAGGGGATGTGCTGCAGGTGTGCAGGTTACCGTTGAGGACACATCTGAAGTATTGTCTACAGATTTGGTCTCCTGACTTGTGAAAGGATGTATTGGCACTGGTGTGGGTGCTGAGGAGCTTCACTAGGTTGATTCTGGGGTTGAGAGGCTTGGCTTATGAGGAGACATTAAGTAGATTCGGACTATATTTATTAGAATTTGAAATATTGAGTGAGGGAACTTTCTAGAAATATATAAAATTATGTAGGGAACAGATAAGACAGAGGCAGGTAGGGACCATAGCTTCAAAGTAAGGAAGAACAGATTTAGGACTGAGTTGAGCAGGAGCTTCTCCCAAAGATTGTGAATCTCTGGAATTCCCTGCCTAGCTATGAAGCAGTTTGAGGTTATCCCCGTTGAATGTGCTCAAGGCAAAGATGCCATGTTCCATTACTTATTCGATACGGTCCTTTAAAACACCTCTAAAATGCTCTGCTAATCTATTAGTGTTCCATGGTCGTTTACAGCTGGGCTGCAGTTCATTGTTGAGTGTGGGAGTTTCCTGTGAGTATTGGGAAAATCGAGGTGCTGACTTCGGCGCCATAGCAAATGCCAGCATTGTTGATGCACGAAATTGTTCGAGTTTCTTGTTGCGTGGGGGCAGCATTCAATGTGAAATTTGTGAGTCACTCTGAAATGTTCGAGGCATGTGAATTTAGCGGTGAGCATTTCCAGGACAGTCGTCTTTTGTCCCATTAGGCTGCCTCTGACATTCAAAGTAGAAAGAACTTTAAGATGTTCCACCCATCATTTGGAAATGGCCACTAAACCATAGCATCTTCTCGCAGATCGCTCGTTATCCCTAATCCTCCTGAGACTGGCACCTCTATCCTCTATCCAACCAAAGCACTGTATGTCACCAAATATACTCATGCCATCCTTTTCCACCTTCATTCTCATCCTATTACCTGCCATCGCTATTTCTGCTAGTATCCTTCCTGCCAGTATTCGCATGCAAGATTCACACTACCAAATTTGCATGATCAATGTGGTAGAGATGAGGATTACTTTAAAAGGAAATACACTCCTGATGCTCTAATAAATCCTTGATTTTGAAACATTTACAAAACACACCAGGCTATGGAACCTGCATACTAGCACGCTGGGAGTTCTTAACTGACCCAGTTGGAGCCACCTTGTAACTGAGCACTGATCAAGTGAGATGCGCCTTCTACTAAGAGTGTATCCTGTTCGGCTTAATGTTTTAAATTATTTCCTTAGTTGTTTAATTCAAATATCAAATATCTTTATTTTCATATATTATGTTAGATATGCAATCAAGTTGTACACCTGGAACTACATAGACTTTAAATACTTCCTAGATATGCACGAATAAGTTGTGTCATTTGAAAGACTCTAAAAACCTGTGATAAAGTTAGAAGAAAGCGAATGAAAATTTCTTATTTTCCTACTCTAATCAGTTAGTCAAAAGAATCCCAGCACTCTGCTCAAAGTCAAACTCAGTGCTAAGCCACACAGAACTGCCTCAATTTTTATGCACTGAGATAGCAAAGCACAATACAGAGGGGAGAAAACGTAGACGTTTGCTTCTTCAAGTAAATAGTGTCACATTCTCTCAGTTCCATATCTTTCTATAGTTTACATAGACCCATCTAACCCGCTGGAAGTTAAAATTCAGTAATTGATCTACAGTTCCATATTCACGTTGAAATACGAGCAATTTCAACACTTAGAAAAGAAAATGTTCTTTTGCTAAAATTCAATGCAAAAATTCATTTTCCAGCATTTTGTTCCAAGTCACAGTCCATTCTAGATATGTCAGTGAATAAGACATTATTACAGAAAAGGCATGAATGAACATAGCGTGAGAATAGATGTCTGCTCGTGCAACTCTGCAGTAAAATCGACTCTGGTTGATCTATGCAACGCGTTTAAATGAAGTGATAATATAAATGAGGTCGCATCTGAGCCTGCAGTTAAAAGAGAAAATCCCATTTCTGTTTTACTGAATGCATTCAATGGGAAGAGTAAGCTATGGTTGTATAAAGTCAGATCAAAAGCAATGTCAACCTCTTAGAATCCAATCCTCCCAGGTGAAGAGATGAGATATTGCCTTTGTTCTCAGTTTAACTTTACAACAATTTTAACTTTTATGTTTATTTAAAGCTATATCTGCTGTCCGTCTCATTTCATATCCATAACACAAATAAAGAGCTGCCTCAATATTTTCGAGTGGCCGTTAATCCCCACACTTACTGAGAAGAATCATAACTCAACATGCTGACGAGAACTGCCATCAATCCTTCACAGTGCCTGAAAGTGATGAAATACCCATAAGCTAACCCACGGTGTATATTATTCCAGACATCGACTGAAAGTGCCCCTAACAGCTTACACATACCTGCTACAATCATAACATGCCGACTATCATCTCAATCCTCTGGCCACAAAACTAACCTGAAATGACTCCAATTCCACGTATTGACTCAGCGAAACTGTAATTCCACATTCTGGCAGAGTGTGATGACTGATTCCCATAATTACCAATAATGACCATAATTCCCTCTACTGACCAAGACTGACTACAACTCATCACACTCTGAGCATGACCAAAGCACACATGCTGACCAGGAGTGAGCATAAAATCAAACGCTTCCTGTAACTGAGTGATCACAATTCCAATCATATTGGTACTGACTGCGAGAGACTATACACTCCATGCTGATCTAGAATGACTAAACTTCATTACATTTGTCTGCCAATAGTCAAAGTTCCTCACACTTGTTGATAGACATTACAGTTTCCTTCAATGCACAACTTCTTTAATTTCTGTCACATCTTTCAGATCAAAGGTGTGGTCCTGCGTAGCCGTATGGTTCTTGGTTATAACCCAGTGTGGAGCTGGAGGAACACAGCAGGCTAGGCAGCATCAGCGGAACAGGAAAGCTGATATTTTGGGTCGGGAGCCACTTTCAAAACCTTTCTGAAGAAGAGTCCCTTCTCTGGTTCTTGGTCATGCCTGTCTCTTTGTGATGTACATGGTACATTCCATGCATGACCCCCAAGCCAAAACCCTTCCTCTGGTATGTCAATGAAATCCTTGCTGATGCTCCCTCTCTCATATTGAACTGGGAAAAATACCATCAATTTCTCTTCCAAATTATACGATGTTCTGACATTTACCTGGTCCATCTCAGACTCGTCCATTTCATTCTCAACATATGTTACCATTTCTGGGAACAGTCTTCCTCTCCCTCCCAACAACAAAAGGGTACCCCAGTCCTCACTTCCCACACAAACAGCCTACATATCCATAGGATTGTGAGCCACAACTGTTTTCCAAAACAAGCGAAATGCCGTGACCAGACACATATTCCTCTCCTCTCCCTCGTCAGGATTCCATAGAGACAGTTGCTTCCAGGGCATGCACGCAACACTTTCCCATGCAACAGCAAAAAATGCAACACTTGCCCATTTACCTCCTACCTCTTAATCATCCAGAGCCCCAAACACACATTCCGGGTGAATCAACGATTTGCCTGCACTTTACTCAATTTATTCTACTGTATTTGCTGTTACTGTGTGGTCCCCTCTACAGTGGGAATAGGAAAAGCTGACTAGTGACTGTTTTGCAGAACACCAACGTTTTATCCATAAAAATGACGCTAAGCTTCCTGCTGTCTTCTGCATCAACATACCACCGAGTTACCTGGCCAACATTTCATCTGAGACCTGCTGCAATGTTTCAGTGAGCCTTAGCTCAAATTCATTTTTCACTGGGGACCCTGCAGTCTTTTTAACTTAACATCGTGTTTGATTATTTTAGAGCTTGATTCCAATGTTTCACGATTTTAACCCAACAAACACATTGGTTCAATTATGACATGGATTGTTTTCAGCACAGACCATTCATTCTCTCCTATTCTCAGTTCTTATTATCACTTATTATTCCACATTTATACTGAATACGCCATTTATTGTGTATCTTCAATCATTGCGGTTGAAAAAGCGAGCATTTTTTACCCTCCCTTAATTTCCCTTGAGAAGCAACATTCCCTCAGCAATAACACCTTTACATTACTTTAGACCAATATCACTCAGCTCCTGACCTCTTTGCAGACCGAATTCAAATAACTGAAATAAAGAGATGACCTAAAGTTGTCTATTTTTGCCTCCAATGTAATTGAAAAGTATTGGTAAGTCATAGTACAATTCTGGTAGACAATAATGTTGAGGAGTGTCTCCACTGTTTTTCAGTCATATATGTAGTATATAGAATGATGACTGTCGTTATTCAAATATAAATATTTCCATCTCAGAAAGAAAAATCACCAAAGCAGAGCTAGGGAGAATATCCAGAGGCTCATCAAAGTTTGCATGCTGCAACAATGACTTTCCCTGCAGAACAGCATCAAAAACCTGGAGGTTCGATCATATTTGCAAAGTATGAATCGTGCTTCGTCTGATATATTGAAGATCATGTTTATTGGTAGTGCAATCTACACAGAATTCAACCTGGATCTAATAAGCGGCAAAGAATTTGAGTACTTGTTCCAATGTAAGTAACATCCCCAGCTAGAGAGATTCTCCTTTTGATATTCAACAACAATGTCATTATTGATTACTTTGCTATCAAAATTGTACAGCTGAATCATTGTTGGATCAATTACATTCATGATTTGAGTGTAAAAGCTAATCAAATGTGGTAGATTCATTGAGTACTTTTTTTCATTTGGAGGCTGGCATTACTTTTTGATGTTGTACTGTAATAAGTGTCGCATTCATTTGATGGATTTAATATTTTGTCAAACTGGAATGAATTGAGATGGCATTGAGAGGAACACCTTCTTCAATTAATTAATGTGGCTACAACACATAAAGTGGGCAATAGAGAAAGCTTGAGGTAACAGTCCAAATATTGAACTTGATACGCACACACATAAAGATCTGAGTGGACCTGATAATGTTTGAAGGATTGACATTGCTGTCGAGCAAATACGTATTTCATTTTCTCATTAGTCAAATAATCGAATCATATTTTTCAATCTCTTGTGTTTTCATATATCAATCCCAAAATGCCATATATTCTCTCACAAAGCATTGCAAAATCAGCTGGCATCATTTGCTTGTTGGTATATTTTTGTTTTGAAATGAGCTCAACCAAAAGTCTTTGTAGTGTTATGGTCTCTATGGGCATATCACCATACATAAGTAAAGGCTCGGTTAAAGTATCATGCAAGAATTTAATTTAGGGAGTCTGCCTGCAGCACGAAGAGATAGATCATTTTACAAAGAGACATAAGGAACTATTTCACGCCATCAGAACAATATATTACATGATTCTTGCTGTTGTTTGTGTTCCTGGTAAGTGGCCGTGAAATGTGAAAAGTCTAAATCTGTGACTGTGTTTTTTTTCTCTCTTTTTTTTGTTTCTTTTCTTTGCACCAATAATGTTAGATTCAGAACTAATAATGGCCATGAACAGTCACGCACTCAGTGCTTTCCTCAATTGTCTCTATGGCTTAATGCTACTTCCTCAACTGACAAGGAAATAGAAAAACCTTTGTAGCTTACAAATTATTGAAGTATCAACTTAGTTCTCTTTCTAAAGGAGTATGTATGGCTTAAACACACATCAATGGCAACTCTCGCATATGAGAATTCGCTGGGTGCATATTTCACTGTTGAATTACAATGTGTGTGCGTTATCAAATGCGTGAAACAAGGTAGTCTTTTTTTTTAATTCCAGAATTAAGTTGCTGCTATTTTGGATATATTCATTAAGATATAATTTAAATAATTTCTCCTTTCAGTGAAGGCAACATTCAGAAACATTGTTGAACATATGAAATCCATTCATAATCTTCCAGATTGCTGTTAGGTTTTCCCTCAAACCTGATAACAGTAAAGAAAGAATAGCCAATTGTTCTTCCTTCTTAAACCATTATAATCTCTAGTTCTATTCTAATTTCAGTACAATATTCCGTATGAATTGATATGGGAAAGTCTGATATTGAATTATGTTCTGAAGATTTAGAAATGAATCTGATTGCTTCACATCGTAATGCTGCATGCACTTTTAAGTTTTGTATGTGCCCTCTTCAATACCGAGGACATCTTATTGTGAGTCACATATACAGTTATAAAATTTTAAGGGATGGTATAAATTGCTTGCTGGCGTACGAGGGTGACATTTGGGCAATGGTCAACGGGGTAAAGGAGTTTAAAAGATAGATGTTGCAACGATGTTCTTCAATAGGACATTGTTGGAATAAGAAAAATAGATATTGGAAGTGTTGGAAGAATTGATCAGGTCATTTTAAAGAAGCAAGCAATGAAGTAACACATGTTCTCCCAAATGGTATCTAAATCTGAAATTCCACCATTTCATTGCATAACTGTAGGAACACTGACAGTTAGACCTTTCAAACGACTGAAAATCATCACAACTTCACTCAAATTCCCACTAATGTTCCCTGTTCTGCCTCATTCAACACCAAATCTGAAAGAAAATATGTTGAATTTAAGTCTTTGATGTGACTTTCAAAAAGTACTCCTCTGACCTGAATGCAAAAGGAAAACAGAATACATAACATTTTCTCACTTATTCATTTTCTCTTTTCCCTTTGATCCTTCACAGTTAATTTATTGGCGATTGTGATTCTGTCCCAGGGAAAGTGCGGCCTCTCTAGTTGCACTACTTGCTACCTGCTGGCCATGGCCGCGGCAGACATGCTGGTCATCAGCTTTGACATCATACTGTTTAGACTCTGTTTTTATTATTTTCCACGATCCTTCCTGGAAATCACCCCTGTGTGTAGTATTATCACTGTTCTGCTTTATGCAGCAACCGACTGTTCTGTCTGGTTCACAATCACTTTCACATGTGATCGATTTGTGGCCGTTTGCTGCCAAAAATTGAAACAAAAATATTGTACAGAGAAAATGGCGGTTGTGATACTATCAACAACATGTATTCTGCTTTGTTTAAAAGACATCACCTTGTACTTTAGATTTGAACCTGGAGAGATAATTGACAATGTCCCCTGGTTCTGTAAAGACAAACGAAGCTATTATACTGATCCTGGATGGATAGGATTTAATTGGTTTGAGACTATTCTAACCCCATTGATTCCATATGGTTTAATTTTGTTGCTCAATGCCTTGACTGTGAGACATGTACTAGTGGCCAGTCGTGTACGTAAAGAGCTAAAATGTCAGAGTAAGGGAGAGAATTCCAGTGATCCAGAGATGGAAAGCAGAAGGAAGTCTTTGATTTTACTCTTCACCATGTCTGGCAACTTTATAATTTTGTGGTTTGTATATGTTTTAAACATCTTATATTATAAAATTTCAGGTATCAATCCAAAAAATTACAGTAATTCTTTATATATGTTTGAGCAAGTTGGAGTAATGCTGTTGGAATTGAGCTGCTGCACTAATACATTTATTTATGGAATGACTCAGTCCAAGTTCAGACAGAAGTTGAAGATAATGATTAAATATCCAGCCACAGTGATGTTTCCAATAAGCAATACACAAAACAACTGAGAGCAGTAACGAGGAGGTTTCAACTGTTACCAGTCCATCAATTTCATATTTAGCATGAACATACACAAACTGGATTACAACAGCAATCAATGGTTTTGCTCAATGAAATATATCTGTAACATGAGAAGATTAAGTAAAAAAGAAAATCCACATCTACTCACAAGAAGCATTGTTTCTTTATGTTCGTTATTTAAATGACAGAAATAGATGACAAAGACGACTTGAATATTCATCAGTAGCACAGTAATGTCAACCTTCTAAGGTCACACACGCTCAAAAAAAAGTTTGCATTTTATTTTAACCATTGGAGGTTTATTTGTGCAGTCTAGACATGGATCTACAAACCACAAACAGGAAGGAAAACAAATGGTCAAAATCATATTGTCCCATGTAGGTCGAGCCTATAAGAGAGTGTTTGTAGGATTGGGTTGGGGGATGGATTGGGGCTGGATATACTGTTACAACCACTAACCTTTCCTAAAATAAAAGCATAATATTATGGACGGTGGTATTCTGAGATAACAACAAAATGTGCTGGAGCATCTCAACACATCTGGCAGCATCTTCTAAGAGAAAAGCACGATTAACTTTTCAAGCCCAATATGATTCTTCTTCAGAATTGTTTTAAAGAGAAAAGAAAGGGAATCGCATACTTGTTGTCATTAAATCAGCCATTATCCAAAATCTCGCATCTATTATTAAGGATTTGGATAATAATGATCTGATTCGTCATCCTCCATATTGATTTGTGAACCAGAAATCGTGCCCCACGAGCATGTTTATGTTTTCTTTTAAGGATTTTGTTAGCATTATTGATAAAGGGCAGCCAATTAATGTAGTAAACTTCAAAGCCCCACGGAAGCCTTGGTTAGAATGTAATGTATTGACATGGATTAAGGATCAGCTACTTAAAAGACAAAAAAGAGAATAGGAATATGAATCTAATTTTAAGATATGCAGGTTGCGAATCCTGATCTATTATGAGGGTCAGTACTTTGACACAGATGAACACAAAGTTAATGTGTAATTTAGATTCTGGATTCACTACACTACTCCCAAATTAACCGATCATTCAAAATGAGATGAGAATGTATGACTTTAGGAAGATGTAAAGTGGCTGAGAGAGCATTTGCCTCTTGGCCACTACATGACAAATGAAATACAATGTGGAAAAATGATAGGCAAGTCACCTCGATGTACAGAATGTTTCTTAAAGCAAGAGAAGTTGGGGAATATGTCCTCACTAATTAGGTTATTGAACGTTAGACCTCAGGTAAGCAGTCAATGCAAAACTGTCAAAGTATTTTAACATTTATTGCAAGAGGGTTTGAGGACAGGTGGAGTGAAGTTCCGCTCCAATTGTACAGAATCTTAGCTAGACGGTGAATAGAGTATTATGTGCAGTTTTGCAACTGACATTAGTGATGGTCTTATTTCCATAGAGTCAGTGCGACTAATATTCATAAATTATGTTCCTTTTCAGATAGCGAGATTGTCCTACAAAGAAAGATTGGGAAACTTGATCGTATGCACTCTAGTTTCAAATAATGGGAACTGATCTCGATGAAATCTAAGAAGAATATGTGCACAGTTTAGACAGAGTGGTGCATTTAAGGTGTTTGCAATTTTTCATGAGTGTAGAATCAGGTAAACCCTTTCAAGAAAAGGGAGAAGCCACGTAGGGTTGAGCTAAGGAGAAATCTTTTTAGTCAAGGCGTTGTGGATATTTTGAATTCTCTATTCCAGAGAGCTGTGCAAGTCCACTGTTTGAATATACTTAAAATAGACGTTGATGCATTTTCAGACAGGAATGTCCATTGATTTCGGATATTATGGGGAAAGAACATTTACATGGACAAAATCCGTGATTGTACTGAATGGCGAGGCAGGATCTATGGGCTGAACAGTTGATTTGTGTTCCTATGCTCCTTCAGACGAGCTAGATTGATTCCTTTCAGTTTAAGAGTTGAGCAATTCCATGGTTACTCACGTGTTATGGTAATTTTTTTGGATCTACTTTTTAAAATGCACTCTCTGTAAGAATTAAGCATAAACTTGGATTTTCTATTAGAAACAACCTCTAGTACTTCTCTTCATTCAGCATCTCTGTAGCGCTTATTTTATCTTTCCCACTGAACTATTAAATGATGTAATGGACTGGATAAGACTCCTCAAAATGTTTTAAGAAGGTAGCCTTGACCCGGATATTTTCTTACATTGAGGCAGTTGTCCAGATGCACTTCGACTTGTCAAACTACTTGTATTTTCAGCAAAACACAATATATTCAAAAACTACAGTTAAAATACAACAAAAGAAAGAAAGAAATTAGAATAACAACTTTATTGGAAAACTTAACAGAATAAGAGATACAGTAACTATAACTAATTAACTGTTCCAACATCCCATAAACATGCCCCTTGGCAAAAATGCAAAGCCAGAAATTAGTTTTTTCTCACATGCAACGCCCACAGTGGGAAGAGACACCCCAACTTCTCGTTGTAGCCAAGAGAAGGGGAAATCAACTTTCACTTTTTCAAAACTCCAGCAGCTCCAGCTGAATATAAAAGCTAAAAATAAACCTGGAAATCCAGGTCTGTGAGAGCTGGTCACTGCCATCCAGGCTACTTCTATTGTTCCAACGTTAAACAAAACCCAAGGCCTCACAAGTTGTTTACATTACGAAAGGCCACTTATCACCTCTCGGACAATCTCTTTCTTAAAACAAAGGAGGACAAAATACACCTCCTAATGCCACAGAATCGTCAGACCCTCCCCCCTTAAAAAACAGCCAAAAATACACAAAGGTGGCTTCATTTTTAAAACACTTAGATTTGAGCTATTAGGATACTAAGACACATATACAATACGTTGAATCTAGGCATGCAAACATTCACTACTACAGCCTATTTCAGTCCGTTTGTTCCCACAACTGCATGACTCCGTCTTTCCTCATCAGAGCCATGACAACAGGCTGGCAATTCTCTCGTCTGGCATATGTAAAATTTTCAAATTTTCAAACCATCTAGAATTTCTCCAACAACTTTAAGGGTTTACGATCAGTACATACAATTGTCTCAGACATATTACTGGCAATATAAATGTTGAAATGTGGTAACGCCCAGCAACAATTTTCTGGAAAATACCCGCTAGATCTCTTTTTATCTTCTCATCATCTTTTTTGTAAGAGTACAGCAGTTACACCCACATCGATAACCACAGTGAATGGCTTGGCATAATTAGGTGTGTTGAGTACTGGGGCAGTTGTAAAAACAACTGTGAAATGCTGTGAAATGCCTTTTGGCACTCTGCCATCCACTGACATTTTCTGTACTTCTTCAATAAGTCAGTCAATGGAGCAAATACACTATTAAAATCTGATATGAACTTCTGATAAAATCCACTTAATCCAAGAAATTGTTACACCACCATCTTTGCTGATGGTATGAGGACACTCCCCAGCAGCCTTTGCTTTTGCATCTCGTGAGACCATCTTTTCATGTCTAATAACATGGCATAGGACTTGGGCTTTTGCCAACTTGCTCTTAGCCCGGTTTGTCACCAAGCATACCTCCTAAAGTTGATGAAACAATACCATTTGATGCTGCAAATGTTCCTTCGGTATGACTAAAAATCAGCAGTCATCAATATATAACAGACGGTTGGATAATCCCAAAATTACTCTATTGGTTAGTCTTCAAAACGTGGCTGACACATTTTTCATACTAAATGGCACGACTGAGATAGTATAGCACATTGCAATGTCACAAAGGCCATAAATGCCTTCACTCTTTTGGATAAAGGCACCTGCCAGTATGCTTTGAGTATATCCACCTTAGCCCATAAACTGCCTTGTCCCAGCTTATCAATACAGTCTTACAAACATGGAATAGGACATGAAATGTAAACAATGTCATTGAGGTCAAAACTGCTGCCAGAAAGATTGGCAGAACTGATGGTGAAGAGATAGACCTGGATTTAAGGTGAGTTAATTGTTTCTGTATTCATTGGTTCTGACATGTTTCTGTAGCTGTGGTATTTATCCAGCTCGTCCAGTTCATTGCATGATAAATTCTAACTCCCTAAGCTGTTAATAGCATGCGATCAAGTATAAGTAATGGATTTGAATGTTAAATATATCAACATCTGAATATCGCCTTTTTTGAAGAATATCATTTCTTGGCACTTACATGATGCAAACACCACGTACCTATTGCCAGCGCACACCTGGATATTGTATAGATGTGATTGTTTTTAGACACGAATGATTTCAGTATCTGACAATTTATGAATGGTCACGGTCCAGAATATTTTTGGGCCAAGATGATAATATTTTTTACATTGATAGGTAAATACCTGGAAATGCTCAAACAACACGTACAGCTGTATTGGAAGCTCTGACAAATTCCAAAAGGAATGAAACACAAAGGGCAATCCAGCATTGATCAAGGAAATGGAAATGTCAACATCACATTCAGCATTGTCCACTCTGCAATTTCGTGTTCATAATCATCTGGGTTCAGCTTCCCAAATCGAGAAAGAACTTTTAAAAGGTCTAGCTTAACACAAAATGGACAATATGATATTCTGTTATCATACCTTTCAGTCAACGCTCCAGAGACAAGTATAAACGAATTTGTGATAACAAGGCGTAGAGCTGGATGGACACAGCAGGCCAAGCAGCATCAGAGGAGCAGGAAGGCTGACGTTTCGGGCCTAGACCCTTCTTCAGAAATGGGGGAGGGGAAGGAGATTCTGAAATAAATTGGGAAAAAGGGGGAGGCGGATAGAAGATGGATAAAGGAGAAGATAGATGGAGAGGAGACAGACAGGTCAAGGAGGCGGGTTGGAGCCAGTAAAGGTGAGTGTAGGTGGGGAGTTAGGGAGGGGATAGGTCGGTCCAGGGAGGATGGACAGGTCAAGGAGGCGGGATGAGGCTAATAGGTAAGAGATGGGGGTGGGGCTGGAGGTGGGAGGAGTGGATAGGTGGGAGGACAGGTTG